CTCAGCTCTTGAAAATATCATTTCGCATTCTGCTTTGCTGTTACATATGGAAAATAATTACTTAGAAAGAAACAGATGTGATGTTTGTGCGTGATTACTCTTGACTTATAACTTACAGATGTGCATGATTACTCTTGAATACTAACTTATACACTCTTTAATATTAACTTATAGACGTGCATGATTAGTGTTGAATTGTAACCTATAGACATGTGTGATTAGTCTTGAACAACAGCTTAGCAAATCAACAGATGTCATTTTGAAGTTATAGGTATGTGATATATGTGACAGAGATACATCCAATCTAATAAAATACCTGACTGTTGTAAATGAGTGTTCAGTGTGGATTCCTTTTGCGAAGAGGTGGTCCACGTCGTCACCTGCGCATCTCTAGGTCTTCTTCACCTGTACTGTAACCCGTCACTTTATCAAGCCTTTCACTTCCAGATCTGTTTGCTTCCCGATCCTTTCCTTCCATATCCTTTTGCTTCTAGATCCTTTGCTTCTAGATCTTCTTTATTCATTCATTCATTTAGTTAAAATATTTATACCCCACCCTGTACACAAAAGCTTCTCAGGACAGCTTACAAAAATCAGAACAAACAAGCCAACAATTAACAATAATTAAAAATCTGCATAAAACCAACAATAACATATCACCAATGAAAGCAAAGGATTCCACCGGCAAACTATACTTTCCTTCAATTATTTTTTCCCTAATGTTCATACATCTGCCCCTCTGTAACATAAGCCATGCAGTCTAATTCTGTCCTCCACAATGACGGCAAAAAGCATGTTCTTGCCTTCTCCTATAAAATGGTACTTCTTCAGTTTGGCAGGGACTACTATCATAGAAACATAGAAACAGAGCAAGTCTCCCGGGCCATCTAGTCTGACCCCTGGCTCCAGCCGGCTCTGCTCACAATATGCCCACCATGTACACGTCTAGCCTATCTTTGAACAGTTTTGCATCAGTTTTCTCTTCTCTAGGTCAACATCCCTTTGCAAGAAGGAATGCTAAGATATGATACTCCAGAGGAGGTCTGAGTAGTGCAATTTCCCATGACGTGGAATCTATGGTTGGATTCAGGTAAGAAGTTAACTCATACTCTGTTGAGTATAGGTTGTGATTGAACTGCAGGTTGCTGCTGAATCACGGGTTATTGTGTTCTCTGAACCCAGCTGCTATAATAAGCCATGGCTTAACCATGAACAACCTGTGAACTAAACATGGGTTCTGAACTGTAGGTTCACCATGGTTTATTACATCATCTAGATTCAGACAAGCCCACACTGCAGGGTTGCTAAAACAAACTTTTTGGCAGAAAACCCTGAAAGAATGGGTGGGAGGGTAAGGCAGTATTGTTGCTTAGAGAGGGTGCCTTGTCATGATGATGCCCAACCTCTAGCAGGAAAAAAAGAAGTGGCATATATAATTTTATTCAGTTTATTCAGCATCATAGGAACGAGTTTGCCTGTGGATTGTCTTCCAAGTCAGAGCAGCAACTAGTGCAGAGACATAGCGTGCCACGGGAACTTTAGAGGCGACTGGGGCTGCGAGCTGTCAGGTACTTGGGATACACGTGTCTACGCGGGACCCGTTCTCGCGTTACGCCCGTGCATTATGTATATTAGTCGTTCGCAAGTGCAGAAGGTAAGGCGCGGCGTTGTCGGCTGCTGCTGCTGCAAGAGGAAAGGGGAACTAATTACAAACACAAAAAGTAAGTGTTTTCCCCAGGCAGAAAAAACGCCGAACATGCAAGGGACCGCTTGGAGCCGGAGAGGAGAAAGAAGGACAGGCGCGACGACCAATCAGAAAGCCCGGACCGCCTGCCGACGCGCCTGACTGGCTGCTCCCTCCCCGCCCCTTGCAACGCCCACAGGAAGCCCACAGGCCGCCCATCCGGCCCACCCTCCTCTGACGGACGGGAGGCGAGGGCGGGAAGAGGAAATCCCTCACCCCGATTGGTCCTCCTGTCTCCGTCTGGCAGCGCAGGCCGCCGCCGCGACCCTTCCCGGCGGCGCTCGCCGCGCTCCGATAGGCCCTCCTTCGCCGGCTTCCGCGGAGAGGCAGGCGATTGGCCCGCGCTGCGCGAGAGTGGGCGGGGCCGCAACCGGCGCGGGGCGGTGTCACGGGCGCGCGCTTCCGGGCGAGGGGGTGAAGGATGCGCGCGCTCGCCTCGGGCGCGGAGGGTGCGCGCCGCGCCCGCCGCCGGAGGTAACCTGGGGGCGGCCGGGCCGTGGGCCGGGGCGGGGGGCGGTCGCCCCGCGGGGAGGGGGGGGCTTCCTCGGGCCGGGCCGCAGCGGTGGCCCGCGGGCGCCCTCGCGGGGGACTTCGGGCTGGGCGGGGGGCGAAAGGCGGGCGCGCCCCCCGCAAGGCGGGCGCCCCCTCTGCCCGCCCAGGTTGCCTGCCCTGCCGGGCGCCTGTCCGTCATGGGTTGGGGGGGGGGGCGGACCCCCGCCGGGGGGGGGGCGGACAGCGCCCGCTGCCGGGGGCCGTGGAAAGCGCCCGCTGCCCCGCGCTGGCGCGGCGTGGCCAATGCACCGGGAACAGGGCGCCTGGCTGCGAGGGGGCGGCGCGGGGAGTGGGATGAGCGTGGGATTTCGTGCATTTGCGTCCAGCGTGACGGGGCGGCCGTTTCTGTGCTGCTGCAGAAGCTGCTCAGCCTTGGAGGTGCCCTGCGTGCCGTAGCCGGAATGCCTCCGGCGAAATACATCATGTGTAAGTGGGAGAAGCGGTCATGGCCAGCCAAGGTAATCGGTGCTCTGTTTTGCTCTAGTGCGGCCGGCTTCTGTTCTGTTCTGTTCTGTTCTGTTCGTAGACTCTGGATGGCAGGGTGGCCCTGCCTTTGGGTGTTAGACTGTTTGCAATAATATGTAAATATGCAATATGTAACTGTGGAATTCACTCCCCAAAGAGGTCCGCCTGGCACCGTCGTTACTGGTTTTTCGGCGCCAGGTAAAGACCTTTATATTTAAACATCATTTTAATTGTTAAAATATATGATCTGGCCAGGGCAACTTCTTCTTCCCTCTCTTTTCTCCTCCTATATTCTTTATTTACTTATTTTATACTGTTAATTTTAATTTTATATTGTTATGTTTGTATCTCAGTGTATTTTTTGTATTTAGTGGTAATTTATTATGTTCTATTGTATTTCAATGTATTTTATTGTGTTGTAAGCTGCCCCGAGGCTTCGGCAAGGGGCGGCATAGAAATGTTATAACAATAATAATAATAATATGTATGCCTCTCGGATGTCCGAGCAGCGAACAGTGAAAAGGGTGATGTGGGAGTGGGAAAGAATTGACATGCAGAGGCAAAAGTCGGTACGGGGCAGCCTTCCCCAGCCTGGGGATGATAGGAGTTGTTGTGCAGCACACCAGGTTGGGGAAGTCCAATACAGAAAGATTTCTGATTTGTTGACACACACTTAGATTTAATGAACAGATTCCATTCTGTAACATGACTGCAGTAAGCCTGCGGGCCAAGCATTTAGGTCTCAATCCTATGCATGTTTCGACTTTAGATTGAAAACAGCATGCGGAGAATTCGAGGGCTTGTTCCTGGCCTGGCATGTGTAGGATTTCTCTTTTAGTTGCTTATAATCTTGGCTTATGAAAGGGTGCTAAGTAAGCACACAATGTGGTAGAATTCTTGAGATGCTTCTTGTAGAGAGCACATTAGTGTATTTTCCCTCCTATCCAGGAATTGCCTAGAAGATACACTTTCCGTAGTCAAGGCTCTGCGAAGGACAGCTCAGCCTTCATCTGGGTTGAAATCTTCTGTGTGAATAAACAGTTAAGTTCCAGACTTAGGGTCCTTCAAGGCTGCCTGGCTGGGGATGTGAGAGTTTATTTATCATATTTATATTTTGCCTTTTTTCCTGCAAGCAGCCCAAGGAGGTGTACCTAATTCTCCCCTTCATTTTATCCTCCGAACTGTGCTGTGAGGTAGGCCAGGGAGAGCCTGGGGCTGGCTGGAGGGCAGGGCCAGGGGTTCCCTGAGTCCCTGGCCAGTGCCCCAGCTTTCAGTCCTAGTCCAAATAAACACCACCCTGGAGACAGTCAGCCTCATTCCAGCTGATTACAACAAAAAAACAAGAGGGGGAGGTGTGGACATTCTGCCCTGCCGAAGTACAACCTAATTCTCCCGCTGCTGTTCTCATCACCTTCGCTTTATGTTGTGGGGTTTTGGCTGCGTGGCGGGATAGCCATGCATAAAATCAGCTTGCCTGCCAGGACTCCCAGGCCCCAGACATGGCAGCCATGCTCACCCCATTTAATGCCCAGCCTTCCCAGCAGAGCCCGACTCCTTTTAAACTTCTGCTTCCCAGCCTGTGTGTGTGTGTTTTTTTTTTAAAGGATAAAACTGCACCATGCTGATACTGAGCCCCTGACTGTTGCTAGGATTGAAGATATCGCCTCCACGTTAGGTGAGATGTGTCTAAAATCTTGCTTGTGAGAGTGCTGCAGTGGGAGGAGGCCCAGACAGGGCAAATAAAGACCTCAGTGGCTAGGCAAACCCTTCAACAGGCCATAGTCTGCATTCGCAGGCGGGTACAGACCAGGAATGAGTGCTTGTTGGCTGCACCAGTGTCTCTTTTTTTGCCAAGACCCTTCAAGGCAGTTAATGTGGTTTGTATTTCCTGATAATCCTTCACAGTGTGCATAATACAGGATGCCCTATGAGTCTGGAGTACCCGGGTTGGGAAAAGGCTGGTATAAAGCAGCATTTAAAAAACCCCAAAACACTTAAAGTAATTGCAAAGCAGCAGTCGATTAGAGATATGACTGGGCCATTGCACAATTTATGACGAATAGGATGGAGAAGGTTTTAAAGGGAAGGGGGCGAAAACTTGGCGGTCCCTCAGAGGAGCTAGGAATTTTCCTTGGCGCTTCCCCCCTCCCCCACAGCCCCACATAATGCCCACCACCAGCCAATGGCTTGATCTTCCTTTCAACAGAACTGAGCAGGAACTGCCCCGATCCTGTGCAGGAGATAACTTACCGGCGAGCATTAAGGGAGGCACTCAATATTTTGAATTATGGGGAGCCATGCAGGAATGAAGTCCCTTTGGAGCCGAGAACGTGGAAGCCATCAGCCCAGGAGGAAGCACAAGCAGACCCGCGTGCGAGGGAAAGCCAGGCAAGTGCTGGGGGTGCTCTCACTTCCCCGCCGGCCAGGCAGGGTGAAGGCAAGCACTGCCGCTCTTGCACCCGGGCGCCTCATGAGCACGAGCCCTCCACATCGAGGCAGCAAGGCCGTTGCAACAGCGAGGGCCCGGCTGGCCAGCACCGTAACCTCTCCAAAGCAAAAGCGCCAGACACCCCCGAGAGAGAACATCAGCCATTGCCCAGCCCTGGTGCAGGCAGAAAATCTCTGCCACGGTCCAAAGAGGCCCGCATCCCCCACCGCATTAAAGGAAAGCCTGCTGGGGAGAGCCGTTCTCCCTCACCGGCCTCAAAGCATTTAGCTAGGACGAGCACCCCGGATCGTAATCCACACAGACGCCGCACTCAGGGAGCCCTGGAGGGCCAGACACCAGCGGCATTGTCTCAGTGGCAGCAAAACTTACCTGGGGGCCCGGCTGAGTGTCCATCAGAACCAGGCACAGAACTCCAGGAAGAGGGGGAGTCCCCACCCAGAAAACGCAGCAGAGTCTGTGATGGCGAAGCGGATTCGGAGGGCCCCGGGAGCGGCCAGAAAAGACGGAGTAGCGGCCTTGCTGAGAGTCTGGACCCAGAATCCTCTCCCAAGGGGTCGCTTTGGGAACACAAAGAAGTGGCCGAGCAGGAAGGAGAACCATCCCAGTGTTCGGAAGATGAAGAAGGTAGACTGTACGCTTTTGGTTTTTTGCTCGTGTACGCAGAGCTCCGTGGAGATGCTGTGGTGTGGGTTATGGTTATGCAGTACTGAGCTGGTCAGGGGTTTTATTTTGGCTACCAGATTTTCTTACTGGCCATTCCAGTCCTGATAAAAAATCCAAAGTACCAGGTGCATATCATAATAGAGAATTTGGGTGTTCCCGTACCCCATGATTCAGAAGCAAAAGTTTCCCCCAGTTTTGTGTGTCAGAGCACTAAAAAATGAGTTTTTGATCCTGTCTCTGCACAAAGCCAGAATAACTGTTGCGCTGCTTCCTTTACAGAGTTTGTCTCTGCCAGGAACCTTTCCCCAAAGCTCAGTCCTGCCCAAGAGATCTGTTCCAGCCCAATTCTCGGGGATGATGAGGAGGAAGAAGAGGAACTGCCCAGTTTTCTCTTGAACCAACGTGAGATCTCTTACAATTTAATACTTTGGCTCTGCTTTTGTATTTGGAAAGAACAGAAGTATGACATTGAAACTGCAAACCAGCCGAGCAGAACATAACGTTGAAACAGAAATGGGAAAGATGTGCCTTCGGCCTGAGAGGGGGAAAAGAGCTGGGCAAGTGTCTGCAGTAGGAGGTTTCCCAAGCATTGGCACCACCACCAAGCAGCCCCCGTGTCTTGCGTGTCACTGCAGAGATCCCAACAGGACCTGGCAGAGGCGCTGGGAGTCCAGTGCAGTTCCTGTGCGTGTTCCACTGAGTTCCTAGCACTTCTGTCCGGTGTGTGCACGCTTGCCCTCTGAGGTCCTCACCCGTCTCTGTCCCTTTTCTTTTTTCACCTTAGGACCTTGCTCCATCAGGCCAAGCATGCTGGTTTGGTGCAAACTCCCAAGGCAACCCTACTGGCCAGCTGTGGTAAGAGTTGCCAGTCCGAGCATCTTGTGTGCGGGGGTGAGCGTGGGTGAGTGGCACCAGCCGCCGCCTCAGAAGGTTGGGAAGGGCACGCCCTCTGCCTGGGTCTTTCGGAGCACTCTGCGATTGACGCACTGCGTTCCCAAAACACTCAATGTCAGGCAAGCTGCACGTCCACAGCCTTTTTCGGTAGATGGGCACGTCGGGAATGTTGCGTGCATGCCGTGGGGCTTCAGTCCCAGTCACCCATTTCCCAGCAGGTGTGTTCTCAGCAGGTGAGTGAGCCCTGCCCAAGAAGTGCAAGGCAGAGGTGGAACCTGAACTCTGAAGTGCACCTAGAGAAGGTGCTAGGAAGCAGGATCAATCCTAAGAAACAAAATAAAAACCAGGATGGACGTGGACTCGGCTTTGTGCTAGAAAGGGGTCTGTGGGAGCACAGGTGCCTGTAGGCACCTTGCTGGGGGCTTCGGGGTTATGTGAAGAAAGCTCGGCTTAACCAGGGATAGAATTTGGTGTGGAAGAACAAGCTCGGTTCTTTTCCGGCGCTCAGCAGGACTGCTTGAGCTCAGAATTCTCTTCATTCCAAGTGTCTGCATCGCATGCCTGGCTTTGGATTTGGGGGTTCTGTTAAAAAAGCAAAGCAGATCCCACGAGCTGTCTTAAGCATTACAGGAAGTCCCCCCACCCCAACCTTAACTGATGACTTTGTCTCTCAACAGGTAAAAAGGGTTGAAAGGAAAAGCAAGAAAGCCAGCGTGGTACTTATTGAAAAGGACGTGGATGACAAATCGAAGGGGTAAACAGCTGTGGCAGAGGACAGCATATAAATGTTTTAATAAATAAGTAAAAGCAATTTCGGATGTGGCCCGCCGTCAGCCAAATTCCTGGGACATCTGGAACACGTCCTGGCCTTCGACCCACCCCTGCAGAAAAACGGCCCCCACTGCTTTTCGGAAAACCAGGCACAGGGAGGCCTAGTGCTTCCACTTGTGTAGTAACGACACTTTTTGAGGTCAGAAGAAAAACCTACATCACTTTCCCATGTTACATATATCAGGTATTGGGAGCTCCAGCCTTGGTAAGAGGATGGATGGGGAATGAAGAGAATCCCTTTTTTCTGGCAGAGGGTGGGGAGGCCAAAAAGAGGGCAAGGGGGTCTGTAAGGAGGTTTGTTTCCTTGTTTGGGCTCCACACTACCCAACAGCTGAAGTTCTCTGGGCAGTTCAGGGTTAGGATAAACTAATGAGCTGGCGGCAGCCAGCTTTGGCCCTAGAACCTGAAACAGTTTGTAATTAAATGAAGCTCCTTTGTCCAGAGCACCAACCTGCTCAATATCATGGCCGTGATTTCCGGCTTCTCTGGAAATCAAGCAGCTTTTTCTGGAGCAACTGCCCCTTTTCTTCCCGATCTTTGCTGCAGGTTCTCTGTGTGCCTCAGAAGCCTGAAACACTTTGACTGTGAAGAGAAGCAGAAGCTGATAGTGAGTAATGCGGATTGTGGGGCACAGAGACGCTACCCCCAAGACCCTCGAAGGACTTTCACTTTTTTCCCAAGGTGTAGGCAGAAGGCTGGAGGATGGGGTGCTAACCTTTTCCACCCGTTTCCGTTTCTTCCTCCCCCCCTTGCTAGGACAAAGCTGCCGAGACCTATAGCTGCGAAATCAACTGGTGCATCAGATTAATAGCAGACTACAGAATTAGAGTAGGTAAGTGTGGCTGCCTGTACTGGTCGCGGAAATAACGTTTTCATTGTTTTCCGGGGCAGCGGGGAAGGGAAGCCTCTGCAGCTTCAATCAGCTGTCTTTACTTTTGAATGCATGGCGTTCCTCCGAGAGGACTCTACCAGAAAGCAAAGTGCAGCGCAGATCAGCTGTCCGCTGACTGAATGGGGGAAGCTGCTCTGACTCCGTTGCTTGCTTGTTTTTCCACTCTTTTTCTTCTCTCTTTCTCTGCCCATCTGCTTTCCTCTTCCTGAATCCTCCCTCTTCAGTCTGCCGCCTCCTGCTCCTTCCTGCTCCCTTCCGTTCGCCTTCCTGCACCGCCTCTGTTCTCCTTTCTGCCTGGATGGAGAAGTGCGTAGCCAAGTCAGGACGCGAATCCTTTGGGAGCGACACACAGGCTTCTCTGCACACTGGCGCAAACAGACGGGCTGCTTTCAACCTACTTGGTCATGTGAACGTGTGACACAGGCTGAGACCGTTTCTTGCTCCTATAGGTTGCCATTCATTCACGGGATCCTTGCTGGAATACTGTGCTGATGACATGAGTGAGTATGTGCCAGACCCGAGGCCTGGACAGCTCGCACCTCTCGGGGGAGTCGGCGCACACACGGCTGGGGCCGGAGAGGGCTTGGTCCTTCCTCCAGTTCTGGCCTGCCTTTGCTGCCCCTCCAAGGCACCCAAGGCAGTTCGTGTGATCCCCCGTCCCTCTGTTCTGTCCCAGCGACAACCCTGAGAGGGTCGTAAAGGCAGGAAGACAGGGCCTGGCCCAGAGTCAACCAGGACCTTAATGGCCGGGTAGGAACTGGGACTCAGGTCTCCTGTCTGTGCTCAGATTGCACTGGAACGCCTGGGATGCAACTCCCCCCGTTTAATTTTGGAGCGAGCAGACAAAAACAAGCATATTTTTGTTCACTCTCGCCTTTCACCCCACATCCATGAGACCACCGACTCTCCCTGGCCCTGGAGGTTCTTCCATCTGCCACCGCTCGCTTCGGGGGCTCAGCACACAGTCCATCTCGCCTCTCGGGGCACCCTGGCCCTCCCACTAAGGAGTGTTGCGTTCCACCAGGTGGGGCACCTGCTGCCCAGCAGGTGACCTGATAGGAGGATGTCCTGCATTCGCCTACCTGGAGGTGCTGGGCACCTTTTCTGAGTGAAGCTGAAGCTGTACCAGTGGGCTTACAGCCCTTCCTCTACAAATAATGATTCTAGTCCTCATGGTTCTTAACCCAGGGCTGTTCAAAACCAAGGCACAGGTCCTTTACTGGGTTAAATGTTCCAGGGGTCTAACTCTGTGCTCACTTCAGCCGCCTGACCTTTGGCAGTGCTGGCTGGGCCTGATGGGAGTTGCAGTCCAAAGGTCTGGCATGCCCAAGGCTGAACCCGGGACTGTGCCTGCAAGGACAAGTCCTGGTTGCTGAGCTGTGGCCCTTCACCTAAGCAGCAGCCAGGCTTGTGGTCTCCAGGAGATCCCTTCCCGGCTGCGAGGGGCTCACAGTGTCCTTCAGGCCTGGCTCTTCACCCTTTTCCCAGGCTACCCCGTTCGCAAGGAAGCCTCCAAGCACCCATCCCCGCTGACTTTTCCCCAAGCACTGGAGGCCGCTCCCAAAGAGCCGCCCAAGGAAGCGCCGCGCCACCAGGTGGCAAAGAAGGTCCTCCCTGACCGGATGCGGGCAGCCCGGGACAAGGCCAACAAGCGGCTGGTGGACTTCATCGTCAAGACCCGGGGGGCAGACGCCCACCTCCAGTCCATCCTGGGGAACACGAAGCCGTCGCGGTGGCTGCAGAAGTTCCTCCATTCCCAGTCTTCTGTCTTGACCTGCATAGAGACGTACCTGGAGGACGACAGCCAGCAAGAGCTTGTGGTTGATTACCTGCAGGAGGTTTACCAGGCGGCTGGCGCCAGTGCGCCGCCTCTCTCGAACGGCAGTGCCCCCAATTTCATCCTGGAGGTCCTGTTTCCCGAGGTAAGATATGCTGCAGTTTCCAGGGTGGGGGGACCGACTGTGAGGGGCTTGCTCCACTGAGCGTAGGATCTGTCCAGAATTCCCAGCAGTGGCGCTTCGGGGAGAGCTGAGCCTGGGGGTGCTGGAGCCAAACCACCCAGCTGTGGTCCTTCAGCACAGAGCGAGATTCTAGTTCTCATGATTCCGGAGGAACAGCCGTTTGGCAGAGCCAGTGGCCTCATACTGGGGGCTGGGACTGGGCGGTGGTCTGGAGCTTCAGGTGCGGGGTGGGGGTTCGGCCCTGCCCCCAGGTTGCAGCCCCTTCTCACCAGCCCGTTTTCCTCTCCCTTGAGCCCTGCCCTCGTCCCCCAAAACTAAAGTGAGCTCGTGTGTGTTCTTGCCCACCAGGCAATCATATATGCCATTTCAGCCGTGGACCAAATTGACTACAAGACAGCTGAAGAGAAATACATTCGGGGACCTCAGGTGACCGAAAGGTACCAGTTTTAAGTCACTGCTTATCCACAATACTGGGAGGTGGGTGGGGGAAGAAAAAATCACAGAGAACCTGAATAGGGACGGGTTCTCTTCCCTTCTGTTGCTTCTTTCTGTTGCTGCACCCAGAGGGGAAAAAACCTGGGAGCTGACCGGCTGAAGGAAATGCGTATTTTTGTGTGCGTGGGCAGGGTGTGGGGGAGGCAAGCTTCTGCCAGGCCATCTAGCGCTCCGTGAAAAAAACCTGTCCTGGCTTCCTGGGAAGTTTTAGAATGGATGAGCAGGGTGAGTTTCAGCGTTCTGCAGAACGGTGCTCTCAGCACTGCCTGCGCCAGCGTCACAGGCCGAGCCATTTGGAGGGTGCCTGCTTGTGCAAGCTGTGCAAGCTTCCGTGGATCCTTTTGTCCTTGATGTTGGCTCCCTTAAGCTCTCTGGAGGAGAGGCAGCACTAGTATCTTCCATAAGCCTCCTTCACAAGGTCAGTGCTTCCGACGTAGTCAGGACAACTGTGCTCTGAAAGCGAGGATCTGAGGAGAAATTAGCTTCCCCGCCTGGTGCTGGGTTACAGTTCCCAGCATTGGCTCAGCTGCTTCTGGAACAGGATGGACGCGGGGACCAGACCGTGGGAGTTGCAGGAAAACTAAAAAGCGGTTGCACAACACAATAGAATGTGACCTTAAAACCCAAAGCAACATAAAGCAGCCACAAAATTCTGAAGTTTTTCCGAGAAATGTGCAAAGCATTTCTCCCTGCTTGTACTTGCAGCAAAAAGAAGGGCAGCACTTCTCTTTCTTCGTGCCTTTAGACTTTGTTTTTATTTCTCATCCTTCAGAGAGAAACAAAACTTTGAAGAAACACTTCGAGAAGAGAAGAAGAAACGGCGTTGACTGAGCAAAAGATGGAAAACAAGAAGGGAAACCAGTTCCCCAGCCTATCTTTCCATCCAAAGCGTGACACCTGTGCAGTTACTTCTGTATATGAGAAACACTATTTTGTGTGTGTGTGTGTGTGTGTGTCAGAAAGAGAAATGTGCTTTATTTTATGATTGTACCTCCTGCAGCACTTTCTTGGTCACCCTCTAAGTCCGAGTGTGGATGACACCAAAAGCAAATTTCAAGGTGAGCATTGTAGATAAGGGAGACCAACAAATTGTTCCCCAAAGAATTGATGCTGCTTTAAGGCGGATTCGCCTCTTCCCATGATTTCGTTTAACCAGAAGCAAAAGCAAAATGATTTTACACAGGAGCAGTGGCAGCAAGTTTAGCTGGTTCCCTGCTTCTGTGGGAATCATCCTGTTTCTGGTTTTCTGAGGGAGGTGGGGACAGGAAAGCCACTTCCTTCCACTTTAGTTTGATCCCAAATTCTGAAAACATGTAGGTACTTTTTCTTCCCTTGGTTGCCTGGCCTGTGTGGCCAAGTCTGCGTGCACCAGTCCAGAACGCAAAAGCAGCACCTTCCTGCAGTGAGCCTGGCCTTTAATTTTGTAATTTAAGTGTAAATTGTGGTAAGTGCAGATACAATGAAATGTTCCAAGAGCTGACTGCTTTGCTTGTTATTTTGTGCGCTTATTTTTTACTGAGGGGAAATAAAACTTTCCTCCAAAGAGTCTCATTAGTCTGGTTTCTTTACGTGCATACAGCTTTTCTGTCCCGTCCTTCAGCCAGAAATTGGCACCGAGAGAGGATTGCAAAGAACGTGCAACACTTCCTACCCTGCCACCTGGCAGTCTGAAAGTCGCAGCATTGGGAGGGAGGAGGGTGGGAAAGGAAGCCGAATTCTTGGCGGCAGTGCGCTTGTACATGTGCTTTAAGTGGGGAAAGATGCGACCCTGTTTGGTGGAGTTACGCATTGCTTCTGGCAGCGAGATCTATACAGTTGACTCTGGCGGATGCGTGTCTTGCTCGCTTGCTAGTTGCAAAGTCGCAACCGACCCATCGCGACTCCATGGACAACACTCCTCCAGGCCCTCCTGTCCTCCACTCCCAGAGTCCACCCAACCCCACACCCACCGCCCCAGTGACCCCATCCAGCCACCTCATCCTCTGACATCCCCTCCTCCTTTTGCCGTCAATCATTCCCCGCATCAGGGTCTTCTCCAGGGAGACCTTCCTTCTCAGGTGGCCAAAGTATTTGAGTTGCATCTTCAGTATCTGGCCTTCTAAAGAGCAGTCAGGGTTGAGCTCCTCTAGGACTGACTGGTTTGATCGCCTTGCGGTCCAAGGGTCTCACAGAGTCTCCTCCAGCACCACAATCCAAAGGCCTCGATTCTTCGGCACTCAGCCTTCCTTATGGTCCAGCTCTCACAGCCATGCATTGCAACTGGGAAAACCATAGCCTTGACTATATGCACTTTTGTCAGCAGGGTGATGTCTGCTATTTTGTATGCTGTCTAGATTTGCCATAGCTTTCCTCCCCAGGAGCAAGCGTCTTAATTTCTTGGCTGCAGTCCCCCTCTGCAGTGATCTTGGAGCCCAGGAGGATAAAATCTGCCACTACCTCTATTTCTTCCCCATCTATTTGCCAGGAAGTGAGAGGACCAGATGCCATGATCTTAGTTTTCTTAATGTTGAGTTTCAGGCCAACTTTCGTGCTTTCCTCCTTCACCCGCATGAAGTGGCTCTTCAGTTCCTCTTCACTTTCTGCCATGAGAGTGGTATCATCTGCATATCTGAGGTTGTTGGTATTTCTCCCAGCAATCTTAATTCCAACAGGTGATTCATCAAACCTGCCTTTCTCATGATGTGCTCTGCATATAAGTTAAATAGGCAGGGTGGTAAAGACTATTGCAGAGAAAAAGTTTGGCTTCATGTATATTCTCTGTGTTGAGATTTTTGGAGTAGTATTGGGGGTTTCTGCTGCCATTTTTTAAAAAAGATCCCAAAGATGAGTGGGACCCTCTTCAGGTATTCAGAATGCTGCAGGCATCGATGCAAAAGAGGTTTGGGAGCCTGCTGGAAGCAAGAGGTTTATGCTTTCACCACACAGCTGATAAAGACCTTCCAGAAAAAGCTCTAGGACTGTCCCAGTCATCAGACACAACATGGAAAAGACACAACATAAAAGGAAAAGGGAAATGGGAGGAAGGAGCAACAAAGCAAAAGCAATTAAGATTGTCGGGAGAAATACCAACAACCTCAGATAAGCAGATGATGCCACTCAAAATGGCAGATCACCGCAGATGGGGACTGCAGCCGAGAAATTAAAAGACGCTTGCTCCTGGGGAGGAAAGCTATGGCAAATCTAGACAGCATACTAAAAAGCAGAGACATCACCCTGCCAACAAAGGTGCGTACTGTCAAGGCGATGGTTTTCCCAGTTGCAATGCATGGCTGTGAAAGCTGGACCATAAGGAAGGCTGAGTGCCGAAGGATTG